CCAATACCATTGAAAGTTCTGAATTCTATAAATTTGAGAGGCTGATCAAATGATGGCACCTAATAAAATATCTGGAATATAAAAATCTTCTTCAGACTTAATTTGGTTTCTCCAGATGTGCTGATACCGTTAAGGATGCACTTGGGAAACAAAGGTGTGAACAGAAATGACATGTTTGCATACATAAGCCAAAGACATTTTTAAAGTCACACTGTTACCTTTTCAGGTTTTGGATTTTTTATTATTTTTTTTCTCTTTGTATTTCTGGGAATTAAGATTCTACCAGGGGGTAATTTACCACAGACTTAGCTAGACTCAGGAACCTTCTGGCATATGCTAAGTCTCATCGTATGTTCTATTGGTGAACAAAGAGGGCTGTAAATGGTATTTTGGTTTGGCTAATGCTATCAGCTTTAACTTGCAGTTTTTGATTCTGATCTAATGATGCTTTGGAAGATACAGATTGACCTTTGTGGGGCTTCTACTATTCCAGAGAAAACTGCTTGGTATGTGTATTAATCCACTCAAGAGGAACCACATGGAGTTTAAATACCAAATGAATGTGTGAAACACCAGGTTTTAAAGTGGAGTTTGCACAGCTGCCATGCTAGGTTAGCAAGGAGCAACTGCAGCCACAGCTCTGAATAATAGAAAAATAGAACTTTGGATGGAAACTGCCTTTCTGCTTTTTGGCAGAATCCATCAGTAATGCACTTTGCCTTAGTTTTGGCTCTCCCTCCTGTTCATCTCTCTGTTTCTCCTATTCCCTCTTTCCTTTTCTGCTCTATAGATTTTATTTTAGTTATATGTTATAAATATATAATGTATAAAAAGTTATAAATATATGAATTATATATATATATGTAAATATATAAATACATATAAAGAGTTATAAAATAAATATATAAAAATAGTTATAAATATATATTTTATAGATATAGTTATAAATATATGAGATGAACACAATGTAAATCCACATCAGGCAGGCTGTGATTTTTTTTCCACTGGTGAGAAGAAAAAAAAATTAACCACACACACACACATTGAACTTGGAGGTAAGTAAATGTTTCAAGATAAATACCTGTTTCTGTATGAAACAGGTGCATACTTTAGGATTTATGTGCCAGTTTGATTCATTTCAAACCTGTTGACTCTAGAGACTAAATCCCTCATCCTTTGATTTGAATTCACACATTTGTCTCATAATTACTCGTTCAAAAAAGCTGATTCTAAACAAACAAACAACAAAAAAAAAACTACTTCTTAGAGATTGTTTCAAAACAATGAAGAACGAAAAAAGTCTTCAGATCTCAGACATATTTTTATGTGTTCATGATTTCCTTAAAGTATTATTTTCCTTCCCGTGCCTGTTTATTTGGCAATGATGAGCAAACCCAGTGTGTCAGTCAATTCCACTTCTTGTCATATTCTAATAAGTGGAACCAGTTGTGCCTTTGAAGGAAAATAAGACTATATAATATGTTTTTGTTGTTGTTTGTTGTTCTTGTTGTTGTTATTATGTTATTTTGTTGTTGTTCTTGTTGTTGTGTGTTGTTTTTTTACATCAGAGACCTATGCAAATAAGATGTGAAGCAAAAAATTATTTTAGATTATAAGAAATGAGTGTGTCTTGGCTTTCTTGCAATTATTTAAAACACATGAAGCTGAGATCTATCAAAGTAAGAAAATTCAGCTTCAGCAGATCTTCATCAGATAAGATCAGATGTTTTAGTGTCCTTGAACACTTAGAATTGTACCAAGTGCAATGAACATCTGAGTTGATTTCTTGTCACTTATGGTGGTATCTGACTTTTTGCTATAAGTCATTATGACAGAAATTTACAGAAATGTTTTAAGCACACAGAACATCTCATTAGATTCAAGATAGCTATTCATATGATTAAATTGTCCTACACTGAGTCCTTAGGTGAAAAAATAAGAAGATAATATATTACTTTAAGAAAGTTAAAAAAAAAAAAAAAAAAAAAAAAAAAAAACTCTTAAAACCTGAAATTCCAAAAATAAAGTGGCACTCCACAAAAAATATAGTTAAAAATCTACATTGCTTCAACATGTCTTGGTATAGAAGCTTACTCCAAAACTAATGGAAGTGACTTAGAATTTTTTGCATTGACTTCAATGTGGTTTTGAATCAGGCCCATATTGCTGAAATATGTACACAATTTCTCCACCTATGAATTGTTTCATTTAATTACAACTATATTTACTCCTTTAACTCAGATAGTTTCTCCCAGCTTATACCAGCAGATGTCAAGAGTCAATACAATGAAAAATCAACTATAGTTTAAAACCCAGACATTATGAAGGCCATCATAAACTTAAGGAGCAGCAGAATCTACAGCTCCCACACTACATTCTGTTATGTACAGACTGATTTTGATCTTTTCTAATGAAATTACATTTATCACTATCGTGTCATCCTTTCTTGCTATCCTCTGCTACGGTCCTGTCATCTGTACAGCTAATGCCATTGAACTTGAATTACTCTTCGGTCTTACTAGCAACTAAGTGAGATGAATGAAATCAATATTCTTTTCCTTACAGGTGAAATGAGTTTAGTAATGTGTAAAAGTGGTAGACCTTCCTTTCTTTGTCCAACTCTGCACTACAATACATCAATGTATTTTGCTTGGCACTTGAATTAACATATCTTAATTTTCAGGCACCAACACCCTCTAGCATAATGAACAAGACTTCTTTGAAGATATTTTTTTTTTAAGATCATCTTTAGTTAATTGGGATTCAAGTTTATGCAAAATATTTTCATAGAATATTGCTTGTACTGAAGGAAAACACTTTTTTTTTTTTTTTTCCTGGCTGAAAATATGCCAGCTGGAGCAAACTAATGAGCCCCAAAAAGAGAACATTTGTACAGCTGGAGTCTGAATGCTATCAAGCTGCTTGTTTTTGATTGACACCATAACAGTCATGGTAATGGAAAGTAATCAATAATACTCCCTGTGTGACAATGTAAATAGTATCATCCAAGAGTGATTGGTGAACAAAACATTCAGAGTTTCAGCTCAATTTGGGTAAGCATCCAAGTCCTCGGATCTTTGTTCTAATTGCCTAACCCATTGGGGTCTCCAAATATCAATCAAAAATAGGTTAATCAGTGGCTTGCTTTGAGTATTCATTATTGTTCTCGTACTTGGTATCATCCCAAGAAAGGAAGTGTGATGGTGAACAAGAACAGATTTTAGAATCAGAAGCTGTTAAGCTTTTATAAGATTTTGTTTGGAAAAGTAGTTTAACTCCTGTTGTTTACTTTGATCATTCTTCTACATCAGCTTCAATTTGTTGTGTATTTAATACATAGGAAAGTTTATGTTGTTATTTGTGTTGATATACATGTATACAGCCATCTACAAAGGAAAACTTATTCAAAAAATTTCAAGACACTTCTCCTTGATTTTAATCCAGCTCCAGTGGAGACAAACTTCCGTAGAGATAAGTAAAATGAAATCCTGTCTGAACACAGAGGATAAGGGCATACACGGAGTGAAAGGCTTCAAAAAGAAAAAAAAAAAAAAAAAGAATAAATATGCGCACTTGCAATAATAAGAGCTGTAGAGCTGTGCCCAGAGCTAAAGCAATATAGCTCAATAGTTTGGAGTAGTTGAGGTGGTTATTTTTTTATTGTGCTTTTGGAGTATTTAATGCCTCACTAGACCTAAAAAACCCTAGGGTCCCATGCTTATTTCAATTCAATTAAGATATACAGGCTGTGCAAAATATACATCGATAGGGAGCCACATTTTCAGAAATAACTGCTTATCCATGCACTTTTTAGCTCATTATAACAGACTCATGGAATCCAACTTTAAATAAAGGCTGTTGGTGGACTAAATTACAACACAGTATCAAGAGACTTCATGAACTAGATATACTTTATTTTATTAAGCTTTCATTATATATTGTATGAGTTAGCAAAGCATTCAATCTCTGCTAACCAGAGTCCCTATACTTTAAATCCTGAAGGTAAACATTTTCTGCCAAGGGCACCCTGTTAATGAACTGTAGGTTTTGGGCTTCTCTTTGATAAAACAGACTTGACAGAAATGTCTCCAAGACATTCTGTAATTCCTTCAAAAAAGCTACCAAGCGTATTAGCATGAGGTATACTCCTATGCTATCATGAGATAGCATGAACTTCATTTTTATGCTCTATGACATCGTACATGTCCACGACAATACCTTTCCACAGAAATAAACCATTGTCTAAGTCTTTCAAGCTGATAAAGATTAAAAAAAAAATAAAAATTAAAAAAAAAAATCCAAATAAGATCCAAATAAGTCCAAATAAATAAGTAATTCCTCTGGCAAAATTAACAGACTCTGATTTGACATAAAGACAGGCTCTGCCCCTACATCCTCCCACAACGGCAGCACTGCTGTCCCACCTTCCCTTTCTTGCTGTGGGACCGTCAGGCAGCATCTAGTGGCTGGTTCAAGTTACAGACATGCTAGTGTGTTCTAAAGGGGAAAAAACTGCTCCAATTTTCATGATATCTGTAGATACTTGGTCCTTCTTTAAGGTTTCTGCCTTAGATGCTTGAAATTGGGCAAGATTTGAGCAGTGAAGGCAGTCAGGGAATCATAGTATGTTTCTTCAGGCAACCAAACATAGTTTTTAATGTTTCCAGTGCTTTGCTCCAGTTGTTTCTTTAGTGAAGAGGCCTCAACAGCAATTGAAATCATGGAACCCCATTGTCCCTCTGCCAAAATGGAGTAAAAACTTTCTAAGATGCAGAAAGATGCTCTGTCAGCATTAATACTCTGACAGACTAGATGAAGAGTCACAATGCAGGAAAACACCTGGGATTGTTACGCTAATTTCCTCCTTCTGGGCCCACTTCATTTACATAAGGAAGATGATGTACCTGGTATGAAGGTTTCTGAGAGTAGGCAGCTGTGGGGTTTTGGCTGTCCTAGTACAGCTGAAGCTCGTTGGATGTGAATAAGGTGCTAGAGGGGTCTGGGCAGTGGGGCTAGGCAGCCATTTCATGAAGAGTGGCTCTTGCAGAGCGTGAGGTGCATTGGTGGGGCTGGGAGCTGCTCAGGTGGAGGTGAGGCAGGAGGAGCAGCACCTAGGTTGGAGCAGCAACTGAAGATGTCTTCGTGCTGGTGGAAATGTTGCCTGTTAGGTTTGCTTTATCTGGTCAGCATTGCCTCTGTGTGGTTATGTGTGCTTTGGCGAAGTACGGTGTTAGGAATGTGAAGCCTGTTCCCTCTCAGGGCAGGGGTGCAAAATGGCGCCATTACACGGTGTTAGGTCTGCTCGGTGTGAGGGGCAGGCTGGGCCCTCATGAGGGGAAACCTGTGTCTTCTGGGTTGGGGGCTGCACAGGGGCTCAGGGGGAACTTTAAAAAAGCCTCCTTGAAGAAAAATAAGATATCAAAACAACAGGCTGAGGGAAAGCTGCAGCTTCAGGGGGAGATGCTGGGCTGGCCTGCATCTCATTCCTAGTTGCTTTGGAGTAACTGAATCTCAACTTACAGAAACCCCGCTGAGGAAGAGGAGAAAGATCATGGCTCCACAGAGGATCTGATGCAGCCTGGTGAGTTTGTTGCCTGTTTTTGGGGGGGTTGGGTTTATTTACTTTCTCATGGAAATCAAATCTGCCGGAAACATGCAATGAACGGGGCTTGAGTGAACATGAAGTTTCTTCAGGTACCTCCAAGAGTCAGTTTACTTGTTGCAAGCACACCCATAGTGGTGATAAAAAGTGTAATCTTGTAGTCTTGGGAAGAGAGGGGGGAGCACGGGAAGAAAATGTTGGTACAATTTCTAAAGGCCTGATGAAGGGAGTATCTAGGCTAGGATCAGCAGTACTGATCATAAACAGTTGGTTCTTATACTTTGTGTGGGGGAACATAATGCGGCATTACAGCAGAGGTGGTACATGGCCCACCTTCCTTGAGCTCTCATGGTATAGCCTATCTCTCTTTTTTGTTGAAATTTTTTGTTACAGTAGCAGCCTTTGTTTGTACCCATTAAGGCTCTTAAAGTGACAGACTTTAAGGCATCTGCATTATAAAGAATGAGGGGATCCACTTCTTATTGTAGGTTTTCTATCTACATTAAATTCTCATGGTATTTGATTCTATTCTGAAATACATATTTAAAGTTTTATAACTTCTTTGTATTTTAAATTAACTTCTTATATTTTAAAGTAATTTAAATATTTAAAATAAAGTAAATAAAATATACAAAATATTAAAAATACATAAATATATTAAAATAAAAAATATTACTAATAGAAAATAATACATAAAATAATAAAGACATAGTAATATATGTAAATATTTTAAAATAAGTATTTTAATTACAAATAGAAATAAATATACTTATTTTTAAATGTTATTGGATGGCACTGCTCTGAAAGCTATAGAAAGGATGATATGAAATCATCCGTCTCAACAATGTCTAGTTATTTCTTTACTTTATCTACAGGATAAAATAATTAAGAGACTTGCTGTTTTTTCTCTTCTGCTTTCTTGATTTTTTTAAACCTTTTATAACGAGTTTGGAGCAACATGTAGGTAGTTAGAGTCAATTCTAGCATTAGAATGATATCTGTTAACATCAGAAAAACAGCAATCAGAGACTCAGTGTTATGTATTTGTTTAACACTTGTTTAGCATGTATAACTGTAACAAATCTGTCTTAAAATTTTGGCTGTATACCAAGTATGAGGGCCCTTGCCATGAACTTCTGGAATAGTGAGATGCCTTGTAATAACTCCCATAATCACTGCAGGTAGGTGTTCATGCTGTTGCTGTTCTATTGTGTTCTTAGATCAGCTCAAAACAAGTGCAGAGATAACATGTTTGGATTTCTGTCTTGGGTACTTGCATCGCATCTCCCAAATTGTCTTTATTTGCTGAAAATCACTTGCTGCTTGAATGTAATTAAAGTTGAGTTAGAAAGTTGGCAATATATTTTGGATTTATATGGGAAAGATTAGGGCAGATGAGATTGAATTCATTCATCAGCAATAGCAGAATTGAAATACCCAGTTTAAAACCTTACAGATTTTTTTCTTTGGTCCTTGATTTGTAAAGAAAGGGAACATGCCCATTTCTCTCTTTTCAAGGTCACCTTTAAATGTGATGTATGCTTTGTGGTACTCCAGTAACTTCTGAAGAGATATGGGGCAAAGAGGACTACTGAGACAGTTGAAAGCTTGCTGATAGTGGTACCAAATTAGAGACAGGCACCTTCTATCTCAGGCAATCCTGGAGCAAAAGAAATGAGTGTTGTTTATCTGGAATAGTAAAAGTGTCTTAAAGTGTGGTACTAGGTGATGTATAACTTTTTCATTATCCTGTCACAGTAGAAAATTCTGCTTTGCAGCACCTCAAAGTTAAAACAAATTCATGGCAGCGTACCTGTCCTTTTAGGATCTTTTTCACATTTTTCGTATCCAGATTTTAGACTTAGAATTAATAATATCCTATCTCAGTCTTGATATGAGATGAAATAAAAACTGGACTCAGATCAAAGGAAGCCACTGCTTTTCTTTTTTTTTTTTTTTTTGGTTGCAAATCTAAAATGATCAGATTAAAAAGCTATTTATTCTCTTATTCTCCGTTAATTTCAGCATCAATTTTGAGGAGAGGATATTCTCAATTCCCAAAAAGGTGCATTAAATAGTTTTTCTGTGGCCTTATGAATATGATAGAAATTGTTTTGGTAATTTTTGAAGCTCTGGAAGTGAAAAGCTGATATAACTGGGGCTGGAAACTACTTTGCCTTCCTCAGGTGCATACATGTGTGTACATGCTTTTTTAATAAGATCGGCAAAAGCTATCTTACATAGTCCAAATCTTTGTGGTTGTTCATAGTTGTTTCACTTATATACAATCCAGTGTTCACTTAAATCATTACAATGTATAAATGCCTGCCTGCATGCCAAGGCAAATTCTTTGTTATATGAGGGCATGTGAACTGACAATGTGGAAGGCATTCTGTCTCTTGTTAATGACCGGTCCTGGGTGACTGCAAATAATGCATTTACCAGTTTATTTCTTCAGTTTTTTAAAGCCTGTGTTTTTAATAAGAAAAAAGGATAATATTTATCTTTCCAATGTGATCTCAACTCTTAAAAACAGGATAACGTAGTAAGTTGAATCAGTTGGACAGACCTTGCTGCAGGTTATGCCCTGGAACAAGATCTGCCTGGATTAGACAACTGGGAAATCTGCCATTGGCTCCGATGGCATGCCACAGCACTCATAACTGCTGAGGAACTCAATCCTTCAAACCTTCAGGCAGACATGATCATCCTCTACATGTTTGAGTACAAATGGAGTTGTCTTGTACTCGGCTCTGGTGAGGCCGCACCTCGAGTACTGTGTTCAGTTTTGGGCCCCTCGCTACAAGAAGGACATCGAGGTGCTTGAGCGGGTCCAGAGAAGGGCGACGAAGCTGGTGAGGGGCCTGGAGAGCAAGTCCTATGAGGAGCGGCTGAAGGAGCTGGGCTTGTTCAGCCTAGAGAAGAGGAGGCTCAGGGGTGACCTTATTGCTCTGTATAAGTACATTAAAGGAGGCTGTAGCGAGGTGGGGGTTGGCCTGTTCTCCCATGTGCCTGGTGACAGGACGAGGGGGAACGGGCTAAAGTTATGCCAGGGGAGTTTTAGGTTAGATGTCAGGAAGAATTTCTTTACTGAAAGGATTGTTAGGCACTGGAACAGGCTGCCCAGGGAGGTGGTGGAGTCACCATCCCTGGAAGTCTTCAAAAGACGTTTAGATGTAGAGCTTAGGGATATGGTTTAGTGGGGACTGTTAGTGTTAGGTTAGAGGTTGGACTCGATGATCTTGAGGTCTCTTCCAACCTAGAGATTCTGTGATTCTGTCTTAACTTGGGTTGTCTGTCTAGTATCTAGTACGAGCTCCTTCTACATGGATCACACTGAAGTGTGATGGTACCTCTCCAGTAAGTCTGAGGTTTTTTTTTTTTACAATGTTGTACTCTGTCATGAACAGACGTTTCCCCTCTAATTTGACTAAAACCTAATAGTTCTCAATTTGCAGTGGTGTTCTGAGTGTTTATAAGGTGTAGAGCACTATACGTTCTAGTGGAAACACAGACTTCTGCCATCCAGTATTCAAATAGAAATCTGTTCATTCCTAATGCCCAAGAGAAGCTAAATTCCAAACAGTAACCAGATCATAAGATTGCTGCTTCTGTGATATTTATAGTTATAACGTGCATTGAGAAATGACTTCCTAGTTAGTTTCTTAAGTCTGGATGATACTGAAGTTTAACTTTGTTTGAATGTTGGAAGAAAATGACTGCTTGCTACATGAGACTGGAAGATTTGAACATCTTTGACAAAACACCAGGTGTCTTGTATGTTTGTCATTGTTATTCTAAATCTAATGTTGCAGATCCACTACAATGTGCATGTATGATTTATTGAATTACTTGTTTGGGATCAGAAGCAAGATTCTGTCATTCACATGATTATAGCAAAAGGAATACATGGTAAGAAGTTTTCTGGAGCTTCATTAAGGAATACGTTGTTTTCTACTGTACAGTTCCTTTAGTTGTCTGTCTTAATCAAAATAAAAACACATGAATTAGTGGTATGAAAGTGACTAAGATTAGAAAATGCATAAATATTTCTGCATTTCAGAAATATGTGGTGTTATGAAAAGAAATGGGCTGCAACTACCAATGCTAGTATGAACGTCTTCTTCCCTTCACAATCTTCTCCCAGTAACTTATCCAACAAGTACCTGCAAAGAGTTCTTGCAAATCGTCTAAATCTTGTCATGGAAGCTATTACCTTAATGGCACTGCTGAAACCCTGAACTCCATACCCAAGCACTAGTTCCTTCTTTTTTGCATTACCCAAAGATCCTCAGCCTCCATGCAATGTTGGGATGGATAGGTAGTTAATAGTTTAGCAATGTAATGAGCTGTAATAATCTGCCTGGTACTGTGCATCAATTCAGGCTTATGGTCTCGTAGCTTTCTGTCCTGTGAGATTCTGATGTGGGCACACAGTTGTGATCCTGCAATTTGTGGCTATGAGACTTAAAGCTTAGTTCTGTTCTCCAGCAAAATTTTTTGGGAACCTTTTACATGATACTTCTTTCTCAACTGCAGGTGACAATGCAGTTACATACATGACATACATGACTTAGAAACTCTCAAGTGTCTGCTTACTGTTAAGCAGTTGATATATTCACTGCTTACCTGTTGGATTTCTACTTGCAGCTCTTGATCAGTTATACTGTTGTCATTGTCTTAGTCTGGTTTCTTCCTTATGATTGTATTACTATGATTGAATGGCAGGTGATTCAGGGTTAATTTCTTATTCCAGATGAGGAAGCATATATAGGCTACCCTTCACTCTACTGTCTTCAATGTTAGTTATACATAATCTGAAGCATATAGGTAGGTCAGCTACATGCTCAAGGGCTAGTCTATTTTCTGGCTTTCCTGCCTAGAGGATGAAGGGCATGCTGACAGGTCTGCAATAGATGGGTGAGGGAGGAAAAACATTAATATCCTATAGTAATTACGGTAAGTCAAGGCAGAGAAGC